CAACTGGAGAAAGTCCTGATGATATTGAACAAGAACTATTACCTAAAGAATGTATGCCCGAAGAACAGTTACCCGTAGAAAAAACCAAGTATAAAAGAAAGAAACCAAAAAAAGATGAAGAACCAAGTCCTGAAAAAAAATTAGTTATGGGAACTCCAAAACCTGCACCTGAAGAAGAAGATAAAGATATTAATTTAAAATATAAGCAAGGAAAACCAGAACCGGAAATTCCTGAAGAAATAAAATTGAAACCTTTTCCTAGAGAAAAACCAATTGATGAAATAAAATCTGAAAACGATAATTTAGGAAAACCTTTGCCTTTTGTTAGTGAATTACCAAAGGTAGATATAAAAACTAAGACTAAAAAAGTACCTTTACCAAAAACAGTAGGTGTAGATACTCCTTTACAAGATCTTGAAATAGTTAGTATAAAAAGAACTAAAGATATCCCTGAAAGTAAAGCGATTGAGGACGAGTTTGTAGCTCCCTTTTTTATTGAAAAAGTTCAACCTCTAGTAGCGGAACATGAAAAGCCTACAGCTTTCTCGTGTTCTGTGGGGGGTTTTCCCACTCCTGAAGTCAAATGGTACCGGGATGATCGAGAACTTCAAACTTCTGATGTGTACGAAATAATTGTATACGAAAACACATCTACATTGAGGATTTCTAAGCCTACTGAAGAACAGGCTGGTGTATATGTTTGCCAAGCAACCAATGCTGCTGGAATTTCAACTTGTACCGCACTTCTTGTGGTGTTAGGTAGAATGAGAGTGCTAGTGACGTCTATGAGTGGTTTAACAATTTTTGTGTGATGTTTTTTACTTAAAATATTGTACATATTATTATTTAAACTCTGATTTTAAAATATGATTTGCTAGGACCGCTTTTTTTAAATTCTAACTAAATATCATGCTTATGAAATTTCGTATGAGGTAAATTATATTTTTTTTCTAATAAACTGTTCAATTTTTTTTAGATTCTGAAGAGGTTGGAGAAGCTCCAACTTTTATAGAACCTATTAAACCAAGAAAAGTCAAAGCAAGAAAATCTATTGAATTGAGATGTGTTGTGAGAGGAATTCCTACACCCGAAATTATTTGGTGCCGTGAGAATGAAGAAATCATTTCGGATGATAGCGATTATGTTTCTACATTTGATTCTAAAACAGGAGAAGCAATTTTAACCATAGTTAAGCCTATGGATGTAGATAAATCTACATATCTGGCCAGAGCAATCAATATTCATGGAAAATCCGAATGCATGGCACATATTACATTTGGTAAATTATTATTTATTTTTTAATTTGAATTTGATTTAAATTTTAAATTTTTATTCACAATTTTATTCAAGAGTTTATTCATGACATTTTTATTTTAATTTCAGAAAAAGAAGAATATGGAGAGGCACCAAAGTTTTTGGAACGATTGAAGCCAAAAGTTGTGAAAGCCAATGAAACAACTGAACTCACATGCTTAGTGAAAGGCATACCAATACCAACTGTTGTTTGGTGTCGCGACGAAGAAGAAATCATTCCTGACGAAACACATTTGTTAATTTATATTCCCGAAACCGGAGAATCCAAACTGATAATAGTACACCCTGATGACATCGACGAATCAACGTACACAGTTAACGCAACAAATAAATTTGGAAAAGCAGAGTGTAGAGCGAATTTAATAGTTCGTAAGTAGCGTTATATATATATATATATATATATATTGTTTGTTAAACTTGATTTCGCTAAATTATATTGTTACTGATTAAGAAAAAGATGAACTTGGAGAAGCACCTACCTTTTTGCAACCAGTGAAGCCAAAAATAGCTAAAGCAAATGAAATAACCGAGTTGAAATGTACTGTCAGAGGTATGCCGAACCCACTGGTTATTTGGTGTCGTGGAAATGAGGAAATCACTCCCGATGAAAGCCATTTGATTACATATCACCCAGAAACCGGTGAATCGATCTTGACGATTTTAAACCCGTCCGAAATTGATGAGACTATTTATACCGTAAACGCTGTGAATAAATTTGGCCAAGCTCAATGCCGAGCAAATCTCATTATACGTAAGTATTCTAAAAATATATTTTTCTAATTAATAAATAATCTTTTTTTTTACCGTATCAGAAAAAGATGAATCGGGTGAAGCACCTAAATTTGTTAAACCAATTAAACCTAAGATTGCTAAAGCAAATGCGACAACTGAGTTAAATTGTATGGTCAAAGGAGTTCCAACACCAACGGTCATTTGGTTTAGAGGAGAAGAAGAAATAATCCCAGATAATACTCATACAATAACATTTATACCGGAAACGGGCGAGTCTAAACTTGTTATTGCAAACGCAACAGTAGTTGATCAGAACACATACACAGTTAAAGCAACAAATACTTATGGCAGAGCTCAGTGCCGTGCTAATATAATAATACGTAAGTAACACCTGACACAAACGTATAAATTAATAACAACTACTGGACAGTATAAAACGGTGTTATACGATTAAGAACGTTTTACCTTTTTGATAACACGATTGAGAACGATTGTCGGCGATCAAAAAAATAATATTTTGTACTTTATAATCAAAAGATTGAAAACGATTTTTTGAGTGACGTTGTTGTTTATCTTAATGTTTAGTAATAAAGGTAATAAATACGATATCTCTGTATCAGATATTAGAGTGTAAATTATTATGAGTAGTACCTACAGTTTACAATTGAAAAAATCATATTGTCCATATTATGGAAAATAATGCTAACAAATCGTGATAATAATGAAATCGATTGAAAACAATGCTACTAATCAGGTATACTATTTTGTATTTTTAATCAATGCGGTAAAGTTGTATAAAATTTGATATGTAAAATCGTTTTCAATCGTGTTATTGAAATGGTACGGCCGATAAGGATCGTTATCAATCGTGTTCTACTCGTAAAAAATTATAAAAAATGTACAACATTTAAAGCCAAATAATATATTTTTTCTATAGAAGAAGAAGTTTTCGGTGAAGCTCCGACATTTGTTGAGCCCATTAAACCTGTACTGGCAAAACCAGACCAAACAACGGTTTTACGGTGTTTAGTGGCTGGTACTCCGACTCCAACTGTTGTTTGGTGCCGCGGAAAAGAAGAGATTGTTCCCGACAACAGTCATACAATTCAGTTTACTCCAGAAACTGGAGAATCCACATTAACAATTGTAAAACCGACAACAATTGACGAAGCGCATTATTCAGTCGAAGCAACAAACAAATTTGGAAGAGCGAGATGCAGAGCTAATTTGGTGCTAGGTTAGTAATAGAATAACGTGATATTAATACACACTCATATCATAATCATCATTATGTGAATTTATTGAAAATTAAAAACACACTGTTTTAATTGTTTTAATTTTCCTGTGTCTGTATATATAGAAATTAATAAATATCAATAAATAATCATTAAATAACATACGAACAAATAATCATGATCAATTTAATTTGTAAAATAATGACTATTTTTATTTTCATAGTGCATCTTGGAATATCTAAACCGATAAGTATGCATGTATAATAAAAATATATATATTCACTTATTGGGTATAAAATGAAAGCTAGTTATTGTATTAATATGATTTGATATTAATGAATAATGTGAACGTAGAAAAGTAAACATTTATTGTAAATATTTAATAATTAGTATTTTTTTTTTTTTTTTATCAATTAATTGATTTAATTAAATACCGTTCGAACAGATAAAGGTCCATAAATAACGCCCAAATCATTTGTATATTAAATTCAATAAAAACACGTAATTACGAAGATAACAGTTTTAAAATATTGTTTGTAGAACAATACGACACTGGCGTTGCTCCAGCGTTCATTGTTCCGATTAAACCAAAAGCTGTCAAACCTGCAGAAACTGTAGAATTACGGTGCGTGGTTAGTGGGACACCTATACCCACCGTTGTATGGTGTCGTGGTGATGAAGAAATCGTGCCCGACGAGAGTCATCTCATATTGTATTTGCCAGAAACAGGCGAGTCTAAACTTACAATCAGAAAGGCCACCGAGTCGGATGTAAATGATTATACAGTAAAAGCCGTCAATAATTTCGGCGTGGCCCAGTGCAAAGCAAATATATTAATAGGTAATTATACGATTTCAACTAAACAAAACTAATTTATTTAATGATAATATCGAACTATTTATTAATTATTTCTAAAAAGAGACATATTTTTAAGAATAGTTTACTGGAATGTTTATAACAAAAAATTTTTTCTCATATTTACGTATTCGCGGATATTATAACAAAAACACGTTTTAATGAATCAGTTATTTAGAAAAATACTCTTAAATCTAAAATATCTATATATTTGGTATGAAATGGGTATAGGAAGATGGTAGAAGTGGGTATTGCATCAATGGGCCTGAACGGCCTTTGAAACTGATTAAAAAATAAATAAATAATTAGGTACATAGTCAAGAAAAACATCGTTTTTCATTTAGAGAAAAAACTACTATGGACCCTTAAAGAAAAATATATACGTAAATTTACATTACATTAAGATTTTAGTCATTGATTATTATCTAACATTTTTTTTTTTTATTAAATACATTTGAAGATGCATTAAAAATGTATAGTTATGATTTATAATTGATGTTTTAATCGAGAATAAATTAATTTCCAATTGATAAAAACTTATCTGCAAAAATAGGTTTTTTTTCGGAATTCATAAATATTTGTATTATTCTTTAAAAGCCAAATAATTTTTACTTAAAAAGAAGATTTTACTTTATGATTGGATAACCATGCAATCTGTATTATACCGTTTTTCAAGTCCGTCCCATACTAACCCTGTTTTTTTTCCTTACAGTAAATGTTTAATTTGTTATTCAATAAAATAGCTACTTTACGATTTATTTACAAGTTATGAAATTGTATAAAATTGTTTTTGTATATCACAAATTGATTTTGTAGTTAAAATACACATAAAAGAAAGTGCCTTGTCATTTTTTAAAATACATATGATTATCTTATAGTTATAATAATTGTCTATGGTAAAATTAGCAGACTAAGAATACAATCAAATTATTTCTATTATATTGTGTGTTATATTGACTTTCAATGAGTTTATACAATATTTTTAATGTTTTGTTCAGATGAGTTTCCTGAAGAATTACCGGAATTGACGGAGGAGGCTCCATCCATTGTGAAACCTTTACAACCTGTGCTGGCGGAAAAAGATTCGAACGTCATTTTAGATGTACACTTCAGGGGTACGCCCGAGTTGAAAGTGCGATGGTTCCATAACGGTAAGGACATAACCGACAAGAAAACGTTGGTACGCACCATCACCATAGAGGAAACAACGACGACAATAATTATAAAGAAAATAACTAAGAAAACTACTGGTCGATATGAAGTTGTGGTTTCCAACAAACGAGGAGAAGCAAAAACGTCGACCACTGTGATGATTAAAGGTAAGCCCAAGTGAACTGTAATAATTGAGCGTCATACTTATACTTGTGAGTAATATTGTTTTTTATTTGGGTATTTCGCATTTTTTGTAGATGAAGAGGACATAGAGGAGATGAAAAAACCGGAGAAGTCAGGAAAATCACCATATTTTGAAACGGACTTGCATACGGAAACAATATGGGAGGAAGAAGAAGAGGAAATTGTCAAACGACTTGTGGTTAGAGTGAAGGGTAATCCCAAGCCCTCCATTCGTTGGTACGAAAACGGGGTAGAAATAGTGCCAAATGAAGTGTTCGAGATAGAAGAGCAAGACGAAGAAGTGTCTGTGTTAACCATGAAGAAAAGACCAACGGAAAACGCTTGTGAAATCACGTGCGAGGCGGTTAATGAATATGGGACAGCAATCACCAAGACTCTAGTCGTCCCAGGTATGATTCACCGAGTTAAAAATGATTTTAATGTTTTTTTGTAATACGCACATAACAGTATATCTCGGACCAATAAAATTATACTATTATTTCATCTGTTACGGAATACTATGTACTTATGTTTTCTGCTTTGTTTTTTCAGCTTTGATCAACGCTTTCTTCGCTTTCTGTCCTTGTCGTATAAGATACGATTCGTTCATATACACCCTCTCTCTTTCTTTCTCTCCCTACTGCACATACACACGTATACACTCTTACTCATTCAATCATACTCACACTAATTCGCAATCGCATACAAACTAATAATAGTAATCGTAGTAAAATAATTAAAACGGAATGAGTATTATAATGATTAATAAAATGTTACTATAATTTTATTTATTTATTTATTTTTTTTTTTGAGCGAACAATCGTGAAGGTTTTCGTGTTTGAAATAACTGACGTGCTAATTGTTGTGCGTTTGATATAGGTATCAAAGGCACGAAGGCGTACAGGAAACCATCGTGGGTAACGCAGATGGAAGAGTTGCGGGAACAGTTACAAGGTAAATGCAATGTGGACAGTTTAGATGCTTGTTGTGGTGTGTACAGCCCGGAACCGGAGGACGACCCCGCCGGATACGGTACGTACTTTCCCGATTACGACGTGAAGAGCACGTTCTACCTGAGCCCCATACAAGAGCATAGCGAACCGTCGTCGTCCGAAGGCGGCTCGGACCGCGTTAGGTCGTTGTCCTGTCACGAGGTGTCCTGCTCGGCAGGCCGCAGGGACGACGACCCGGCCGGCCGAAGCCAGACATACCCTAGGTCGCACGCGGACGAGACGGTCGCGCAGTACAATCGGCGCAAGTACACTGGCCACCCTCTGGAACCCCGCGAACTCGACCCGGAAATGTTCTTCCAACTACACACGGCCGACAGCCAAGAGGAACTCCAGGAGTTTTTATTGCTGGAGAGCCAGTGCATGTCCACAGACGGTGGTGGGCTGCACGCGGCGTTCATCGAAAAACCGAAAAAATGAACATAATCGATGATTCGCTAATCGCATCGATCGTTCACGTGAAAACCTTTTACCCCAAATTGTCATCACACCTAAGCTAATCAAAGAACCGAAACAGTTTGTACTAAACACGCATGTGTGTGTGTGTGATAATTAAAAATACTCAATTACAAATGCCATCAATGATAACATTGTGTTAAAATAATGTGTGTGTGTGTGTGTGTGTGTTGCATGCACCACTAAAAAAAAATCACACGAATTCATTTTGTCTGTAAAACTGTATCGCTTGATTTACACGATTGCGGCCCGGTCGATATCTATTCTCAATATTTTGATTTATCCAATAGTGCCGGGAGTCGTTTAAATAAATAATCAAAATATTGATTATCGAACGACGTGCCATACTCGCACTGTTATTGTAACACTTAAAATTTAACAAAATCAAACAAAATGAATCGTGTGCATTTGTGCATTGCAGACTTGTGTAAAATACTTTTTAAAAGTATTTAGAATAAATACTCGAATACTTACAAAAAATAATATTCCGAATATGTATTCAAATTACTTTACTGAATACTTTCAAAAAAAGTATTTAAAAAGTATTCTGAATACAGTATTCCAAATATTGTATTCGGAATACTATCCAAGTTTGGTGCGTTTCTATGTGTTTTGTATTATTTTGTTAATGTATGAATATATAAAATAATATTTGTTATAATATTAGTCTGTGTTTGTTTTTTTAACCTTGTTTTGCTCGTTGTACGATACATAATTTATTAATTGATTAAATCATTTTATCCACCGATGCGTAATTTATTACAAACATTTCCTCGTACGCATTCTGAAGTGAAATATCTTGTTTGATAATTATCATTATTATGAAACTGACATGTTAATTTCTTATAAATCTGACAGGTATGTATTTACTTATGCAAAATGACTACAATATTTTTTAGTAAGAATATTAACATTAATTACCTATTTATTAATCAATCATAAATATTGATACGCTCGTGCTACATAGATGAAATAACAAAAAGAAAATAATACAACTACTATTATAATGATTAAGACATAAAAGATAATAGCATTACAGATGATAAAAAAATATTGTTGATTTGAAAATAATTTGAGTAGGAATACAATATAAGGATACAATATAGAATAGATGATCATGTTATTTAAAACATGATGCTAGTGCCGAGAAATTTAAATCGTCTCGAAAAAATCATATCTCTTAATTGATATTCTAGCATTCATTAAAAATATAAAAATGAGTACACAATTGTTGAAAAAGATTACTTAGATTTCATAAAAATACAATTAACTAACTATTAAAAGATATTTTATAAATTTAAAATTATTAATCGAATATTATATTATATTATTTGTATTATTTAAGTAACAGTTTGATGCATTAATCCAAAATATTTACTGGGGATTAATATAAACGATGAAAATTGGTTAAATTTTCTAATAAAATCAAAACAGTAAATTGTAGTGTATGTTATAACGTTATGTCAAATAGTAAGCGAAGAAAAAAAAAATTATTCATTAAAAATTTGGAAACGTTGAATTCATTCCAGGTTATAACGAGCACACTTGTAACTCGACAATATCTTATAATAGTGAGATGATACATAATTTATAATTGTTGAAAATAAATTTCATAGTTTGCACAAAGATCTAACATATTATTTTATTATATAACCTATCAACTAAATCACTAAATTTTAATAACATATTTGATTAATTTTTATAAATATTGACTATTTACTTACTTACCTATCGTTAGTAAATTTAAAATATATAATATATTAAAATTGTTAAAAATATTCTGAAAATTAAAAATTTTAATATTTATTATTTATAAATATTAATAGATCAAAATTATACAAAATATACAACTGTGAACTTTCAATATGAAAAAACTATAGAATGTATGATTTGCCTATAATATTGGTAATAATACATAAGAAGCCGACGACAGAGTAAATATTAATACCAAATTATCAATATATTTGAGTCTAACTGTTGACAGACGAAATGTGAATACATTATATACGAATATATCGTAGTATTATAACAAATAAAATGATTTAAGAGTAATTTTAGTTAAAAATAATTATGTTTTAAAAATTAAATTGGAAATTTCTTTTTGTTTTCGATATCACTGTATTGTTAGCTAGAACCCCGTACACCGCCCTACCGACCAAGCAATCATAGGAAGTGCAATGACTACATAGAAAAATTCATCGTCTTATTATAGTTTAGAATATGATTTTCGTATTGATATCATAAGAAGGTTTGCCTTCTTTCTTGTTTTATTACTCGTTTTCAAAAATACAATTTAACATGATGTTTATCACCTAAATAAATCACCCACCTAGCTTTTATATGTATTGCTAAAGCAATATTTTGACCATAGGATAACCGCCCTGGTTCTGTATTAAAATAATATGTACAAAACTCTATTTGTTTTATACGAATTTCAGATGAAAATTATATTGAATAACTATTAATTAAATTCTTGAGAAAAAATAATCAAAACAAAAAAAATTATTCAATTTAATAGGTATGTGATTTTCTATACGTATTATACGTAACGTTTTAGGAAAATATTATTGAAAGATTAATTGCATTAAAAAAATGTAATATTATTAGATGAAAATTTACGTGCTAACTTAAATCCTCTTAATTTATTTGTAAATAATTTTTTTTTATCGATACGCTCAGCAACTCACAGGTAAGTCCTAATACTCACGTTCGACAAATATGTCATAAAAAATGAGTATACGAACGATTTTTAATGTTAAAATTGTCGTTTCAGCTTTCCAAAGTGTTCCCAGATTTGTGCAAGAATTGAAAGATGAACGAGCAGTTGAAAACCAAACCGTTGTATTCGAATGTCAATTCTCAGGAAATCCGACACCTGGTTAGACCCCGTACTATTTCGTCATAAATGAGACCATTACTCATAGTTGTTTTTAATTTCAGTCATAATTTGGTATTACAATGATAAAATTGTTAGAAACACGTCGAACGTTCAGATAAAAATCACCGACAACAAAACGACATTAACCATTAAACAAGTGACGAAGGAAGACGAGGGAGTTTATACTTGCAAGGCGAATAGCAATTTGGGCGAGATCAAAAGCAAAGCAAAACTCTTCGTGAAAAGTATTATTAATAATTCGAAAACATGTTTATCATACAAAATTAATTGAAATCATTGTGCTTTTTAGAACTAGATGACGAACACCTCACCGTGACGGAAGACGAGGTGGAAGAAAAGGAAATTGAAGAAGTGAAAAAGACGAAAAAAA